ATCGGTTCGAGCACTTAGAGGATCAACATATCTCTTGAAGTATATCTGATTGTAATGTTTTATCTTGCTAGTTGACATTATTTTGGTGACATGGACCTTATTTTAAAGTATCGTATTTTAAGATGATGACACTTTTACTATTACTATTCGGTTTATTGTGATTTTGATTTTGAAGACCTGTTTTAAATTAATTTATTACTTATTGGTATTATATTTACAATTTGGGTTTTGATAGTATAATATCATGTCATTTATAATGTGATTTTACAATGATTGAATAACGGTTTCAGAAAATGTCTTTAAGAATCATGTATGTGATCCACTAGACTTAGTCGAAACGCATAGGCCGGGTCTAGGGGGTTACAGATTTAGTAATAACGCTCTGAAAAGCAATTGATTTAACATGATGTAAACTTCAGAAGTGTTTGAAAATTACTTTTTGTTTATCTATTTAAGTTTAATGCATGTTTTATTATTAGTAAATTAAATTGTTTTATAAAAAGGAACAAAATTTTATGGGTTTTCAAACGCAAAATTGTTTTAACTGTGATGTGACATATGTATCTCGTGTACGGAAAGGTATACGGGAGATGGGTGTTACACCAATCATCTATCACACCGGGTGGAATGGAGTATCCCTTCATGATTGAGTTCCAAGCTCCAAGATCGTTGGCTTGAATGAAGAGCATCATCATATTCTTCCAATAGGTATAATTAGCTCTAATGAAGTGAGGAGGCTTGTTGATCGGTTGTGAGTCTTCAATATAGTAAGAGCCGGAAGTCGAAGCCATCTTCTTGTCGGTTACATAAGGAATCGGTAGAGCTTCTTCTATGATCGTCTCAAGGTGGTTAAACCTTCTAACGAGTCAAACTCTGGTACCAATTGTTGGGATTTACGAAGCTCAATTTGAACAACCGAAAAATGTATAAGGGGTGAATTGGCAAAAATTCTTTGGGGAGTAAGGAGAATTAAAAGATAGAAAGTTTTGCACAGCGATTTATAGTGGTTCGACTTCTCAACTAAGTCTACCTCCACTGCCTTAGCTCCTCACTAAGGATTTTCCAACAAATCCACTAATTTGTTATTTCTTTTTCAAAGATCAAGAGTAACCTTTACAAACTTCCTAGTTTTTCACTTAGCTAAACTAGAACCAATCCCCTTTACAAAAGGTAAAAAGAAGTAAACAAATAAAACCACTTAAAGGTAGGGTGTTTACAAATTAAAGCTCACAAAAACAAAATATTTACAAGAGAAAGTAAAATAGGAATGAAAAACTCTTATTTTGTGTTTGATTGCTTGGATAGGTGTTCTAACCCTTCTTCAAGTGTCTTGAACTTGTATTTATATGTTGAAATGAGTTTGTGGTTGTTTCTAGACATTGGGGATGATTTCTAGCTGTTTGGGGATGTTTTCTCTGCAAAATAAAGTTGCCCAGTACAGAGGGTATCAGTACTCCTATAGGGAGTATTGGTACTACCTTTGTTATATTTAAATAAAACTAGTTGTTACTAGCCGTTGGACCTGATGGTATCGATACTAAGCCTATTATATCGATACTACTATGTTGAGTAGTATCGGTACCCCTTTGGGTATCGATACCATTTTTGCATTCTGGAATTTGAGCAATGCTGGTAGTATCGATACTACCTAGAGAGTATCAATACTTCTCTTACCTAGGGTATCTATACCACATGAACAATATCAGTATTGTTCATATAATATCGATACTACAAGAATAGTATTTGTACTACGTACGTTGAAAATCGGCTTTGTGCTCAAATTCACTTTTAATGGACTTTGAATTATTTTTGAAAACTTTTGAATAAATTCAATTCAAGTCCAAAAACATTTTGCCTTAATTTGTTATATCAAAATATAGTTCAACAGAGGAGTATATATGTATCTTAACATTTTACATTTCTCACGTATCTTCGTTTATTTTATTTTAAGTAAATTTTGAGGACTATTATACTTGTGGAGAATGACCTCTGAAATTATTGGTTCTCCTTAAATCGAGAGCCTTTGGTAGGACCCTCCAATTATTGGACCCTCTAGAGAACTTAGACCTTTCTAACAGGAGTCCTCGAGCTAGCTACAATGCATAGATAAAACCTTAAGATAGGATCCCTGAAAGACCTACGTGATCCGCCAGAGCGAAATCTAAGGTTTGACTATCAAATCTAAATGGCTCGCCGACATAAAAAAATCATAATGACCCTATGACTCACACACACTAAAGACCATTATAAATACTCCTCAACATGACTGAGATGCATGTGACACCTTCTACAATGAATACCCGTCCTTCTTATTCTTTCTCATGACTGACCCTCTTACACAATTAACGAACAACAATCGTTCTATCACTGACTACGACTCTCCGTCCAAACCGAAAGGAGTGAACCACCAACAATCGATCAAATATATCTTTCTTCATAAGTCTCGAATCAATTCACTTTATGGCATTCTCTCGACCAATGAGGGGCATTTTGTTATACCTCTGAAGAATGACCTTAGAAAACTATCGGTTCTTTGCTAACCAAGAGCCCATGGCAGGCCTTTTTTATTACTAGACGCTTCAAAGAATCTGACTCCTTCGAACATAAGCCCTCGAGCCAACTATAGCACATAAGGCACGTATGATAGAGCATGAGATGGATCAAAAAATAGCGACGACGCTCGTGTAGGCCTTATCTTCAATCACTTAAGGATTGGATATTTAAAAAATTATATTTAAACACACGAAAAAAAAAATCAATATCTAAATAATGTGATCTTTGAGAATCCCACAATCTTAGTTGTTGATTTTGAGTTGTCAAAGACATATTCTGAATTTTTATCAGACCCATATCAGTACGATAGATAAAAAATAGCATCCAAAACTTCCTTTAACTACTATACTAACATGGGCCTAATCAAAGTTCATGACTTGTCTTTGACAACTCAAAAATCAACAAGTTTAGTAATGAGATTATTAAATCCTATTTTATTTAGATTTTAGTTTTTTCAAGTGTTTAAAATATGTACTAATTGAGTGATCAAAGACAAGATCTATACATACGTGTTGTTGTAATCGTTTGGCCTGTACTTGTTTCTTCTTTTAAGTATAATTTTACAAATGTTTAAATATAACCTTTGACAAGTAAAGTGCGTGTTTTTTATTTTTAGATAAAATTCGTATAATTTTTTATTACATATTTTACCTTTTCTTTGTATTTTGACCTTGACAAGTGCAAACATTCAAAATCATGACTAAGTTTCTTGGTCTTAAAAATTAAATTTTTAAATAATTTTTTAGATGTTATTATCCTACATAATAATAAAAAGTATTATTCTCATAATTTTACCTCAAACTAGAGTACTTTTTCTATGGAGATATTTTAAGAATTTTTTTATTATTTTATGAAAAAAAATTTGTCACAAAAGTAATATTTTATAGTTTTTTCGTCCTACATTTAAAAAAGAATATTTTACAATATAATATTTTAAAAATGATTTTTTAGATGTATTTTACAGATGTGGGAAAAGCGTTGGATAATTTAAAATTAGAGATGTTGATTGAATCAATTTAGTTTTTAAATATTAATAACCAAATATTTGGGATTGCGCCGAATTCATGAGCAGAACCAGAACCAGAACCAAGGTTTGTTGATGAAGATTTGGGCTTCCCTTAAGGATTACTTGCTTCTGTCAGAGCATGAGGTCATGAATCATGATGGAGAGCGGGATGCGGATGCTCTGTCTTCTGTATTGGACACCGATGCAGTTAACCATATTTTAGCCATCATGTCTGCTGACTATCGTTGATGATAGCTGGATATGGCGGAACTGAACACCTCTGACCAAATGTTTAGTGTTTCCTCCGCCTATGCAACCTTGACGGCGATACAAACTGGGAAATGGTTTGGAAACTGCAGCTACCACAACACGTTCGTGTCTTCCTTTGGACAATACTCCATGGAATACTAAAAGATCGATTACCACATTGCCCCTTATGTGGAGAGTCGGAATCCGTTTTGCATGCATTTCGTGACTGCCCAGAAAGGAAGCAACTATGGTCGTCTATAATTCCTTTGGAATGGCGTCATAGTTTCTTTTCTTTGGATCTACGGGAATGGCTCTTAAGTAACGTCCATGTGGAAACTGATCAGCGAAACTGGCAGCTGTGGAAACGTAGGTGCGCGTTCGTTCTCTCGGAGCTGTTGATTCAGTTTTTCAAATTGCATTGGTGTGGCCACGATACTCTCGAGGCTGCAGCTTATACGATCTAGAAACCTAGCAGTTGGTACAATGGGAGAAACTGAAGTTCGGCTGTGTTGTTGCTGGGAGAAACTAAATAAATTGATTAAACCATCAAAATTGAATATATATCCAATTGATTTTACGTAAAATAACTGTTTTTTTCCTATCCTTTTTAAGACTTATTTAGAAAATTAATTGATTTATTTAGTTTAAATTTTTAAAATCGATAACCAAATCTAATTAATCAGTCAAAACTGAATGAACCGAAATTTTTTGATCAAATCAATTTAATTTAATCCGTCAATTCAGCTATCCCCTCTTGTACATTTAATAAAGAAAACGAAAGAAAAGCCTTCAAGATCATAGACAATCACATTTGCAAATAACTAAACAGTAAAGAATAATGTAATGATGTAAGACTATCTTTTACGAAGTGTTTAAAAAATCCAGAAGAACACAAAAATTGCTCTGTTCAGCATTTTCAAGTCATCATTTATTCAACAATAGAGAAGACACTAACCAAAAGGGTTATTTCCAAGAATGTTGGATCTTGTTCGTGTTCGTGTTTGAACATCAGAAAACTCGGCTTTTTAAGCGAAGACGACCAGAATGATGAACAGAACTAGCAAAAATATTATTATCATTATTTGGCCCTTAGCGCCAGCCTTCTTCATAATAATAGCCATTTTTCTCTTGGCATTAAAAGAATAGACAAGTAACACAGTTAAAGGGCTGCGTATTCGCTCAAGTTTCGGAAAAATAAGATCAAATATTTAATATTTCTAATTGCAGATTGTGGAAAAAAATTACCTGAGCAAAATCCAGTTGGTTTTTTGTGCCGTCCATTTCAGTACCTAACTCATCTAATATCTTCTCCTGAAACAGCAAGGCATTCCAATTAGCATGTCAAATGGACAACACTGAACCGATGCAGATATCGGATGATATCTATTGACTACAGTTGCAATTCATTCACAAATATGTTAACCGGGGAGATTACAGGTAAGTACTCACCTGTGCAAGGAGTTCTTCATGTATAGTAAGCCCGACGCCTCCGATTCTCTGAACACTTGCGTTAAGCTCCTCCAACTCCTCTTCCTGCTGCCTACAACCACAAGTTGATGACAATAAGAAAACTAGAAAAATCAGAGAAGGGAGCACATCGAGAACTAATAAATAAGAAACGAATAAAGAGCAAATCGAGAAAACCCTACTTTATAAGAAGCGTTTGTCTATCTGACTCCGATGCTATAAAGTCATCAGTATTTTTTGCACTATAGTGGTCGGGCATATCTGGTTGCTGAGAATTTGGCAGTCTCATTAATTCTCGACGTATCGCACTTGCACTACTATCATTCTCTTTTTCAGCTCCAACAGCTTTCTTGACATCAGCCACCTTATCAAACAAAATAATTCATAAAAGACATCCATTAATGGGAAAACAAATTAAGATCAATGCTGCAACTATCGGTTAAGCATAAGCCAGTCTATTAGTAAAGCTTGAAAACTATTGCACGCTAGTAAAGCACATATGTTTTTTAGCTGGCTTAAAAGTGCTACAATGTGTATTTCTACAATTTTTCCGGCATGAAAACGATGATGCTGCCCTTCGACCACCATGGAATGAGACTATTACTGAATAAATTTTCACACGATAATAAAATATAATGAGCAATGACCACAAGGATGACACCTGAATACGAGCATTAGCGGTCCATTTCCTCCTGCTTTCGAGCTCAACTTCATCGATGCCATACCAAGAAGGATCTCTAGCTGCTACCGAAATTGCTTTGTCCAATTCATCCACATTCCTATCAAGAAAGAAGAACTTTCAGCAATTGTAATTGAATCAAAATAAATAAATAAAGTTGTTCAATTAACACAGATATAATGTAAAACAAATCATCAAACATCTTTTCCCATTTCAAAGATCCATTAAATTTAAGAAAGAACACTTAATTCGCATACCTGCCAATCGATGCTCTCACAACTAGCAAGCAGATCTTTGGTGAGATGAACTTGCTCACCACTTCCAGGAGGAATCCTTTCTCATTGGTGAAAACTTGCTTGCAATTTATCAATCTAAATGAAATAAAAAAAAAGGAACCCCAAAATGTGATTTAATAGAAAATCTCCCACAAAACAACAAATATCAAGGAGATCAAGCAGTCATTTTTCTCTAACTTACAGAGTCTTGAATCTCTTCTTTGACGATGTAAAATGGATCTTGAGCTTTAGTCATCTTGTAAGGAGTGGAATTAATTAAATCCTGGAAACATTCAAAGGAGAAATACTATCGATAAGTCAGGTACAGAAAATAAAAAGCATGATTTTTTTCAAGGAATTTTACATTTGCCACCTATCTGAGACAAACCCGGTAAGGGAGATCGGTGTTTCCACTGTTTGGAAGGGTAAAACCGAAGAAGAAAGAAATTGAATTGAAGGGAACAGCCCATAAAACAAATGGTGAATATTGCTTTTAATCCCCCAAGATACTGATTTCGGTTAAACCAGTTAATAAGAACACTTTTTATGTCACAACCATACCATATGCACAAAGAAAACCTTTTTTTTTATAAATATTTTTAAAGGCTTAATATAAACATAAATGTCCAAACTATATTGCATTTCCAAATAGGTGTCCAAATTTTTTTCGGTCGATCTAGGTGCCTAACGTTATCACTTTAAGCGTCTCGACCATAATGGCCATTAAAATATTCTGTTAAATGACACGTTTCACTTTCTGATAATTTTAAAAAATTTATTCTTTAAATTTACATAATATATTTGGCATTTCAGTCATCAAATTTACATCTAGTCTTATAATAGAAGAGAATGTGTGTGGAGGAATATTTCCTCTTTGTTATATTGGAATGCAATGCCAAAAGAAGGCAAAGGGGATTATCAGATCCTCACGAGAACTTTTTCATCATTTGCTGAAAGAACGAGTAAGAGAAATGGAGGAAGCCATATACCGATGTACACAAAAGTCGGTACCGGTAACAGTTACAGAGCACATAATTCGTGAAAATCAAGAGAACAATCCTGTTAAAGTAAGGAAAGTGCTTTAGAAATCTTCACACAATCCTTCAATAACAACAGACCGTCAAAGAAATGGCCTAAGAGTTATATTAAAGGGAGTTCATGTTAATGATTTAACCCGATACATAAACTTCACATGTTCATCCAGGACATACAAAAAGTCATGCACACAACTGCTCAAAACAACAAAATTTGAACTTATTTCTTATCAAGTATGCTCAAATCTTGCCAAGACAATTGCTTTTTATCTAACTGATTGTTGATTGTGTTGGTAATGCTCAATCCCACATAGTGTTGGAAACACTATTGGGAATGGTATTTAAGGCTTGACATTCCACTTCCTTGTTGAGTGATAGAGAACAAGGGGGGCTCTCGCGCACCGCCGCTGCCGTCCGTCCGTCTCGGCTCGCCTCGTGGTCGTGGTCGTGGTCGTGGTCGTGGTCTTAGTGAGAAAGACTTGATGAATTTAACGATTTTGGCTGAATATCTATTCTTAATAAGTTCATAACCCAGAGTGAGTGGGTAGGAAATGATGAACTTACCGACAGAAAGGTTGAGTTTGTTAAACTCTTAATAAATTCAAATCCAAGTATTTGGATGGTTCTAGTGAGAAGGACTTATTGAATTTACCGATAAATGAGGTTGAATATTTATTCTTAATGACTTCTTAGCCCAGAGTTTGGGTGGTTCATTTATAATGAACTTGAAAAAAGTCACCATACCCTTTGTGAGGTTGAGCTATTATAAAAGCTCTTAATTATTTCATATTCCTTTTTAAAGGGTGGTTTATGTTGAGATAAACTTGATGAAATAACCTATGTAAGTGAGAAGGGTTAGCCGCCTTCTATGAAAAATGTTGGGCTATTTTTCTAGCACACTTACTAGAATCCTGAGGTAAGATGGCCAAATATATACTTTTGTATATATATATCTTACACATCGAGGACTCAGGTGGATGAAGGGGTTAGTTGTGTGTTATGAGTTTACCCTGATCTTAGAAAGTTCCAGACTAGTTTCACTTATCTAAGAGAAGGATTGCTCATCATCACTATGTACTAGTTCCAGATATGTTCACTAGTGCTTAAGCAACTAATCTCGCTATTACTCTTCTGGAAACCTTGTTTTCGAGTTTCAGAAGATTTCTTTCGCATTAGTGGGGGAATGTTGGTAATGCTCAATCCCACATAGTGTTGGAAACACTATTGGGAATGGTATTTAAGGCTTGACATTCCACTTCCTTGTTGAGTGATAGAGAACAAGGGGGGCTCTCGCACACCGCCGCCGCCGTCCGTCCGTCTCGGCTCGGCTCGGCACGGCACGGCTCGGCTCGGCTCGGCTCGGCTCGGCTCGGCTCGTGGTCGTGGTCGTGGTCGAGGTCGAGGTCGTGGTCGTGGTCGTGGTCGTGGTCGTGGTCGTGGTAATACGTGTCTTCGACACATCCGCGCGGATACTATCTTTTTAGAGAAAATTCTTGAGGAATTTCTCTTTGAAAGAAACAAATGGAAAATGTGAAAGATATCAACTGATATTTATAGGCTGCTGAGGACTGTTTGAATTTCAAATAATAACAGCTGAATTATTTTTTATCAGAAATTAAACAGTTTATTCCTAAATTAAATCAGAAACGTTAAGATGTACCTGGACTGATTTACAGCTTTGTACAGAGGAGACAAGCTATTAATATCAGGAGTTACAGGAGTTATTTGATTTAATTCTAGGGGTTACATGATATAATTTCGGGGTTATAACAGCTGAATAATGATACAATGAACCTGGACTATTTCTGAGTCAGGTTCATCTAGTCGTTTCAGCTGTTACAAATAAGAGTTTAATCCTGAAATTTTATGGACGATTTTAACCCTATTTCTAGCCTATAAATAGAGAGCTATATCAGCTTCTCAACTCACTCAAAAACATTCACAATACACTTACCAAAGTGTTTTCTAAAGTTCTCTCTGTGAGTTCTCTCTGAGTGCTTTCCGATCAAAGTGCATACCACCAGCAGTCCACTCCGGTTTCGGGTGTACGGAATTCGGAACGACCGTGTTAACCTCGGGGGACGGTCCGCCTACTGCAGCGATTACACACATTGAGGTGAATTCGTTTCTAAGGCAGTGGTTCTTACCACGACACGGTTTAAGAATCTGTTCTTCTTAATTACTGTTTATATTTACAGTCAGTGCTAACGGTGTAGTTTTGCAGTTCATATATCCAACAATTTAGAAACGAATTTCCATAAACTGCAATCATGTCGACACCTTTGAGCAAACTCATTCCCGATCTTTCCAAGCTCGATGCACTTGATGGAAAGAACTATAGAAGGTGGTCCCAAAGAATTCTTATATTCTTCGAGCAACTTGATCTTGATTACGTGTTGCTCAAGCCACCAGCCAAGCTTGTTAGCAGATATTCCGTTGTGGGGAAGACCGACTCCTCCAGTTTCATTGTTGTGTGATTCACAAGCTGCGATATGTGTGGCTAAGAACCAAGCTTACAATGGTAAGAAAAGACACATTCGTATAAAACATGAATCAGTTAGACACTTGATAAAGAATGGAGTGCTCTCTTTAGAGTATGTGAAGTCGGAAAGGAACCTAGCAGATCCACTTACCAAAGGGTTAAGTCGGAAGCTGGTCCTAGATTCGTCGAGGGGGATGGGTCTAAAGCCCATTGGTTGAGGAATTCATGGTGGATACCCAACTTAGTTATCTAAGTTCCATGTGGTCAACGAAACCATGGAAAGACTCATAGTGCACATTCCTACTGCCTATCCCTATGATGAATAATGTGCATGCCCAGGATGAGCTTAATTGCTCTTAATAAATTCATAGCCCAGGCTTTGGGTGGTCTTAGTGAGAAAGACTTGATGAATTTACCGATTTTGGCTGAATATCTATTCTTAATAAGTTCATAACCCAGAGTGAGTGGGTAGGAAATGATGAACTTACCGACAGAAAGGTTGAGTTTGTTAAACTCTTAATAAATTCAAATCCAAGTATTTGGATGGTTCTAGTGAGAAGGACTTATTGAATTTACCGATAAATGAGGTTGAATATTTATTCTTAATGACTTCTTAGCCCAGAGTTTGGGTGGTTCATTTATAATGAACTTGAAAAAGTCACCATACCCTTTGTGAGGTTGAGCTATTATAAAAGCTCTTAATTATTTCATATTCCTTTTTAAAGGGTGGTTTATGTTGAGATAAACTTGATGAAATAACCTATGTAAGTGAGAAGGGTTAGCCGCCTTCTATGAAAAATGTTGGGCTATTTTTCTAGCACACTTACTAGAATCCTGAGGTAAGATGGCCAAATATATACTTTTGTATATATATATCTTACACATCGAGGACTCAGGTGGATGAAGGGGTTAGTTGTGTGTTATGAGTTTACCCTGATCTTAGAAAGTTCCAGACTAGTTTCACTTATCTAAGAGAAGGATTGCTCATCATCACTATGTACTAGTTCCAGATATGTTCACTAGTGCTTAAGCAACTAATCTCGCTATTACTCTTCTGGAAACCTTGTTTTCGAGTTTCAGAAGATTTCTTTCGCATTAGTGGGGGAATGTTGGTAATGCTCAATCCCACATAGTGTTGGAAACACTATTGGGAATGGTATTTAAGGCTTGACATTCCACTTCCTTGTTGAGTGATAGAGAACAAGGGGGGCTCTCGCGCACCGCCGCCGCCGTCCGTCCGTCTCGGCTCGGCTCGGCACGGCACGGCTCGGCTCGGCTCGGCTCGGCTCGTGGTCGTGGTCGTGGTCGAGGTCGAGGTCGTGGTCGTGGTCGTGGTCGTGGTCGTGGTCGTGGTAATACGTGTCTTCGACACATCCGCGCGGATACTATCTTTTTAGAGAAAATTCTTGAGGAATTTCTCTTTGAAAGAAACAAATGGAAAATGTGAAAGATATCAACTGATATTTATAGGCTGCTGAGGACTGTTTGAATTTCAAATAATAACAGCTGAATTATTTTTTATCAGAAATTAAACAGTTTATTCCTAAATTAAATCAGAAACGTTAAGATGTACCTGGACTGATTTACAGCTTTGTACAGAGGAGACAAGCTGTTAATATCAGGAGTTACAGGAGTTATTTGATTTAATTCTAGGGGTTACATGATATAATTTCGGGGTTATAACAGCTGAATAATGATACAATGAACCTGGACTATTTCTGAGTCAGGTT